TGGGCGGCCGCGACCCGGCCGCGGCGGGACCCAGGGACAGCGGGTCCCCCACCAGGTGCGGGTTCACCTCCTCGTAGCGGGATTTGGTGCCGAAGTAGCCGTTCAACCCCGCGCTCGCCATCGCTAGCAGCGGCGGCAGAAGGAGGAAGGCGGCGGAGGGGAGCGCGGCGCCTGCCCGGCGCGACGCCATGGCGGCAACTGCGCGGATCCCGCAGGAAGAGGCGGAGCGAAGCCGCCTCGTCTCCACTTCCACTCGCCTCAGGGGCCGCGTGTCAACCCGGGCGACTTGTAGCCAGGCGAGGGGGCCGCCCCGGGGAGGCGGAGGCCCTGAGGGGGGCCGCCCCACAGGCTCCCCTCAGGGCCTCCGGCTCCCCCCCCCCGGCTCCCCCGGGGCGGCAGCTCCCCTCAGGCCGGGCTACCCCCCCTCAGGAAGGGCTATCTCCCCTCAGGGCTGCGCCCGTGTTTAAAAACCCCGCCTTTTTGACCCATTTACGCCTCCTCGCGACAATAAAGACCCCGGATTCTTGTCCCCTCCTTGGGCCTGCCTCGGGTGGGCACCTGCCAGACGATGGGGTAGCCCCGGGTGAGGCGGCAGCTCCCCTCAGCTTGGGCTATCTCCCATCAGGACTAAACCCACGTGGGGAAGAAAAAAAAATGCCTTTTCGACCCATTTATGGCCCCTCAAGATGCTGAGGACCCCGATCCTCATCCCCACCTTGTGCCCGCTCTGGCAGGGCTTGGCCTCCAATGTGGGCTGCATCGTCCATCACACCAGCTGACGCACTGGGCAAGCGAAGCTAAGAAGGGGCTTTCAAGGACATTTTTGGCTCTTTTTGCCCAAAAGCTGTTGACTTCCACTCAAAAGTACAGGCAGTGTTGCTGTGAGGGGGATTGCGGGTAGCTGCTGCTGGGGTTGGCACTGCAGGTCGGGGCAGTGCAGGGCATCAGGGGTTTTTAACATGGCTTATTCATTCCCGGCAGGAGCAGGTGCAGGTGGAAATACGCAGCTGTGGAAAAGTCGAACAAGTGGGACTGTGAAGTTTGCAGCCCGGGGCACATCCAGCCAGGAGCCGTGAACAGAGAGCCACCGGTACCAGTTATAATCCTCACATCCTGCTGGCATCACTGGCAGCATGGTGTGACAGTATTGTAATGACCTATCCAGAAAAGCTTAGAAAAGCAAAGTATAAAAAGAGGCATCCTGTGGAAAAGCCAGTGACACATTGGGTTATAAAACAGCTTGGGCAAAAGCGTAAGCAAAACATCCGCCAAGTACATAAGCCCAACATGCCCAGTGCTGATGATACCCGTTTTAAAGAAACTCTTGCTACTAAATAGGTATCAGCTTGTAGCTAAGGAAACTGAGTTATTTGTAGGGAAGCAAGGCTTGAGGTTAACAAAAACATTTCACGTCTCAGGAAAAGGGCTTAGCTTTTGGCCCACAGCATGTCCTTGGGAGACATATGTTTTACACACAGAAAGATCAGGTACTTTACTCCCTGCCTACACAGTCAGGCTATTGCCTATACAGTTGAGAATTTTCACTGAATAAATACTTTTTCATGTTATATTTAGTCAACTAGTGAAATTCTGTTGGAAAGTATGTATCTCACCTCTCTCCCACCTCATCAATAACCGAAACAAAGTGTTAAGGCAATGATATGCTAAGGCTCAAACAGTTAGGGTAGGCAAAGCCTTTAAAGCTGGAGAGAAAGGGGAAAGAAAAGTATAGCAATAAGTAAGTGTTTTAAAGCTTCTGGGTGAAGTTATGGGCTCTCTGTGTTAAACCAGAGTGGTGTGACTTAGCTATCTCCCAGCGATACTGGTGCAGGGCTACTTACCATGTTTCCTGGTGGCTTTGGGAAAGGAAATAGTACAGTATGCAAATTAAATTATCTTGTTGAAGGCTTTGGCTCAGCCCTCTGAGTGTGAAAGGTTACATCTTACCAAGCATAATGGAGACTTTTAGGGTATATAACAAAAATTGTTGACAGTGAGGATTTTGTTCTGTATGTTTCATAGAGATGCGACTAATAAGGGGTTGGATTTGTGACCTCTTAATACCTAGCAGCAAATATGTCAGCGGTCAACAACTTCATCTCACTTGAGAGGTAACGCACTCAGTTCTGTTGGGGCTTTTGTTTCAGCCATGTCTCGGTCACAGCACAAACTACTTGACTGTTTCTGTTGCCATTTGTGGCCTATTCATTGGAGCCTTGCACAGCATGCTGCTTTTCTTGCGCTGGGATCTCCAGGCAGTTTTAAGTAAGTAGCAAACAAAGACAGTGCTGAGAGGCAGACAGGTTTGGCACTTGTAACCTAAGTTAAGTTTCTGTCTCCTCTTTAGAGTTCAGAAGTATTTGAAATGGTAACTTCAGGAAGGAGGAGCAAAATCTGATTCTCTATCAGGACACAGAAGATCGTTTTGAATGAACATATAAAAATCTAACAGTATATTTCCAGTTCTGCACGGGATATGGCCAGTTTCTAGACTTTTATTTTGTATTTAAAATATTTGAAGGAGTGTTTTCATGCACAAGGTGATTTTACACCAAGTATTCTTCATACCAGTTTCTATCATTGCATGTATCATCAAGACCCTACTGCTGTCTTTAAGCTACACTAAAGGATCTGAAAGAAGGGGGAACGATCTCATGGTGATTCAGAAGACATCTCCCCAGTGGAGACATGGAACACCCACTGTGCCTCATTTTAATTGCTAGCACATTAAGCAGATAAACAAACTCTTAATGATTGCATATGCATTTCAGAGGTCATGGAGCTGTGCTGGAAAGGGCTCAGGTTTAACATGGAAAATACAAGTTTGTGCAAGAAGGTGAGGCTAATAACTAGTTATTGTTTAAACAGAAGGATGCTGTCTACTATGAAACAGTGGTAATTCAGAATCAGTGAGACAAACAAAATTGTTTTGATCATTTGTCTAGTACAGCTCTTTTAGATGTAAATGGTTCCTCAAAAATGATTCCTGGGAGCTTTCCAATTTTACATAGCTGGACTAAATTTGTAAGTAAGCATTTCAAGACCAGTGCAGAGAAGTAATTTGGATTTCAGTTTGACAAGAGGTCCCGAGAGGAAAAATGCAAATTCTCCATCATCATTTCATATGATCTTTAGTTTATATTAGGCATATCTAACCACAAATCATTTCTAGCATATCATCTTAGAAAACCAGCATGAAACTACCTACAGTGAAGTTTTCAGAAAATACTGTCTTAGGTTGTTTTGAAACCTGTTGAGGGTATTTTATAAAATACCAAGAAAAATATAAATTCCATCTTCCACATAATTAATCACTGTAACAAATCTGTAATTGGTTTTAGTAGGAAAATGACTTTGCATATTACAGCACCGTGCACATGAGCTTATGCGTGTGAGACAGAAAAAGAGAACTCATAGAATTTTTCAATAGAGATTATAAATCTTTAGATTTTCAAAATGTGAATTTAAAAGGTAATTATATAAAACTGATTTGTGATAGCAGTTTCCATTCCAGAAAGGGAATTCTATGTCCTGAATTGTCATGTGAAGACAGTTGCCCCCCCACCGTGATCCCTTACTTGCTCCTATCATATCACATTAAATTGTCACATCCTATCATATCACATTAGATCATTCAGTTATGTATTTTGGGTGGCTTTCACAAGATTTTTTCTATGTATCTATAAAGATGGGGAAAAACGTTATCAGTAAAATTCTGTGAGGAGTCACCCCTAATTATTTCCTCTTCATAGTATGTTTTTGAAAACATTAAGAGAAAGACCTGCTTTTATAACAAGTTTCATATTTGATGGAGTTTGAGTCCATAGAGGCCTTTGTGGCTTCTGGTCACATAGGGAATTTTGGAGTGCTGCTCTCTGCTGAAACTGTTGCATTATCCAAATGGTTGCACATGAAGCTGGGCTCTTTTCAGGACTTCTGTGCAGGGTGTTTGTCACCTTCAGCAATAAAGAAAGACCACATGACTCAGACGCCCAGCGCCTACGCAGCCTAAGTTGAGGTATGTGAACATCATTGCTCAGATAGCTCCATGATGTGTCAGAGACAAACAGGCCAAGTGAGTTAGAAATTGGGTAGGTACCAACCTGCCTGATGCCACTTCATCAAGTGCAGCCTCTGGGTCTGAAAATACCACTTTTCCTCCATCAAAGCTTATCCTCACATAGAGCATTATCTTCTCTCTGGAGAACAGCTCCAGTTCATACCCCAAAACTCCAGACAAAGCATTTACATAGCAGCCAAGTTGCCATTTTCACCCTCCACAAGTATTGCGATGTCCTTTTTTAGTCCTTGTATCTTTTTTACAGTTAAATCAGAAGCCAAAAAAAAATTACAAACATGCCTGCTTCAAATGCAACCATATCAAATTGTTCTCTCTTTTGTTCTCCTCTATCTTTTTCATTTCTTTCCATCTTCAAGTACGGTGATGCTGGGGATGGTTAATTCATAAGTCACATTTACATTCTCTAGCATTTTTTTGTTCTCTTACAGTGCAGTCAAACCGGTTTCAAACAACTGTCCTGAATATTTTCCTTATTTCTGCTTCTTCTATGGATTTTACTTAGACGTGTCAATTTCCAAACCAAGCTATATTCAAAATGCAACTGAGAAAGCCAGTGCGCTAACCTCTTCTGAAAACACCTTTTTTTCTTATAATGCCTTCCTGTTCCTCAGTGCTTTGATGTCCTGTAATTGCCATTAATGGCGATATATTTCTTTAGCAGTCAAAGGGCAGAGAAAGCATATTTTAGTATGTCCCCAGCTGAGTCTATGTTATTAGCTGGTCTTTCCAGGAGCAAAGAAACTGCTCCCATTGCCAGTCTGAGCATTCAGATAATTCAAATACTACAGAATTCACTGCCTGCATCTGTAGAGGTAAGGAACAGTTCTAGGTTTCAGCTCTCCATATAGCACTTTGAAAACCAATGATATTAATTACATGGTCCAGGAAGGAAAAAGTGTTGGCCTCTAATTTTGTATTCTGCTTTCTTTCTCATGCAACCTGTCCTTTCATTTTCTTTACTTTCAAGGAACAGATCTCCAAGCAAGGATCTCTTCCTACTGGCTGGCAGCCATTCCTTATTATCTGATGGCCAGCCGTGGTTTTAGGAGAGGAAATATGAGAAGTTGTTGTCAGCCTTTGAGCTTCACAGTCCCAAAGTAACAGGG